CCCCTGTAAAAGGGACCCTAGAGAGCTCTCTTGCCCTCTCTCCTCCATGTTAGAATACAGTAAGAAATCAGCAACCTGAGAGAGAGCCCTCATCAGAACCCAACCATGTGGGGCCCTGATCTCAGACATCCTGTCTCCAGAACTGTAAGAAATCAGTTTCTGTTGTTTATAAGCCAACCAGTCTATGGTAATTTTTTATAGCAGCCTAAACTAAGAAAATATCCCACAGAAAATCACTGAATTCTGTTACTATGATAATATTGGGCTAATTAGGTAGGGTAAGCAGGAAATCGCAATTACCCTAGAGGCCATAAGGCACACACATAGAAGAAGAATCTCCAGAAAGTTCTGGCTAGGCCTGGGTGCTCATGCCTATAATCTCCACACTTTTGAGAGGCCAAGGCAGGAGGATTGCTTAAGCCCAGGAGTTTGAGACCAACCTGGGCAACATAGTGAGACCCCATCTCTAAGGGAGACAGAGAGAGAGAGAGAGACAGAGAGAGAGAGAGACGGCGTAGGTTCAGAGTGCTATCTCATTAATGACGTGCCTAGTTGTCTGGCATATTGAGATGCCCTCTTTATTGTGAGATAAATTACTTTACCTTGGACACTTACCACAATAAAGAAAAGATGGTAGCCTTTTGTTTGTCACAGAATTCCATTGTTATAGCTAAGAGGTTGGCTGGATGGCCAGGGACTTGAATAAAACAAGATTTAAAGATCTATGACAAGGAGGTTTGAAATGGACCCCTTGGAATGAACATGGGGTGTGCAGAGAGTGATGGTTTCTGAGTGAATGACCATCGGAAAACATAGCCTGCGCAGAAGCCTGTCAATAACCAAATGAAATGACCTGTTCTGTGGATATCAGTCATCCTCTGTCCCCAGCCACCCTAGGGCTTTCTTGATGAGTCCACGTACTAATGGATATTATGGCAGGGATTGAGGTTGTGCATGGGCTTAACAACATAGACCTCCCCACCAAGAATGATCTGGTTACAGCCACATCTGGATACCAATTTGCCAACAGTAGAGGACAATGTTGAGCCCCCCCCATATGGCCCACCAGCAACCTGATGACAGATTTTTATTCTAAATTCCTTTCACTGTGAAATGAAGAAGTGATTTATATTCTGGATATGGATTTGCCTTTCCTGCCCATAATGCCTCTGTCAGCATTCGCTCACCATTAGTGAATATGCAGAATGCTTTATCGATCAGGGTTCTGAAACCAAGGAATAAAGGGTCATATAGGGAGCCAGGGGAATATATACCTTGGGCCCCTCTCAGTATTGCACTTCATAATCTCTGAAGAAATGTTTGTTTCCCATCTCTTGACTGACGAGTTTTCAGGTCCTACTATCTAAGGGAGGAATGCTTTCACCACAGAGATGGTAATGTTGAATTGGAAACTGACACTGAGACTTGGGGTCACTTGGGGTTCCTCATGCCATTGAACCAATAGACAGATGTGGGTGTCACTATATTAACCACAGTGATTGACTTCAATTACCAGGGGGAAGTTGAGTTGCTGCTATAAAATGAAGGCAAAGAAGATTACTGGAACCCAAAGGATTCATATGGGCTCTTTCTATTATCTTTCCCAGGAATCTTGGGTCAATAGAAAACTGTAGATGCCAAATAAAGCCAGAGACGTCAAAGATTCGGATCTTGCGGAAATAGGATTTGCCTCAGACTGCCAGTTCAAAAATCTCATCCAGTCAGATGCTGACCAAGGTAAGAGGGTCATAAAATGGGTAGAGGAATAAGGAAGTTGTTTTTATCAATTTAGGCCTCTGGACCAGCTACAGAAGCAGAGATTATAGATGTTGTGTTTGAAGTAAGTTGGCATGGGCCAGGCTTGGTGCCTCATGCCTATAATCCTAGCACTCTGTGTAGCTAAAGCAGGAGGATCGCTTGAGGTCAGGAGTTTGATACCAGCCTAAACAAGAGTGAAATCCTGTCTCTACCAAAAATAGAAAAAATTAGTTTGGCATGGCAGTGTGCACCTGTAGTTTCAGCTACTTGGGAGGCTGAGGCAGGAGGATCACTTGAGCTCAGAAGTTTGAGGTTGCAGTGAACTGTGATGATGCCACTGTACTCTAGCCAGGGTGACAGTGAGAGACTCTGTTATATATATATATATATATATATAAAAGTTGGCATTAAAGTTTTTTTTTTTTTTACAATACCATTTCTCTTCCCAGCTACTTTATATTAGGAGAACTTGTGTTGGACAATGTTTTAGGTCTCATATGAAAGTGTGTCTGAATTAAGAGATGTGTATGTCATTTATAATAAGGGTAGAAGTTTTCATCCAAACAAAGGACAAGAGTAGAAGCTAGGCTAGATAGTCACCATTTTCCCACCCATAGTCATGCTCCATCCTTCTTCACCCTGCTCTATGCCCCCAGGTTGATGTCTATAGATTGCATCAACCACAAGCTCTTGCTCACTGGCTTCTGGTTAGATTTGGCTGATACTAGGTATTGGCATATTCAGAGGCCAAAAAGAGAGAGACGCCAAGGTACATATTCCCCTGGCTCCCTATATGACCAGCTGTGAATTGACATAGGTTATATTCCTTTGCCTGTCCATACCTTTATAAATAGTTCCTCCATTAAATGCTTCTTATTTACTCTGATTGAGTGTATTATCTGTTGCTGGCCAAGTGCAAGACTGATACTTGGGTTTAACAGAAGATTGCACATAGCTGAAGAGAAATATTAGTAAACTAGAATTTAGTTCAAAAGAAAATATCTAGAATGAGGTATGGAAAGATAAAATGGAGAATACAAAAGATAAGCTAGATAGAGGATAACACAAGAAAGTCTAACATATATTTACTTGAATAGCCATTATTACTCCTAAAACCCAGATTGGGCTCTAAATTTGGTTTTTAATAAAAGATACCAAGTTTCTTTAGAGAAATGGCTGCTTCCATGTCTGCAGCAGGGAATAAAAGAGATGAACCTGGTACATCTTGGAGTGACAGAAAGCAAGGGAGCTTTTAATGATTAATGGGATGTTTCAAAAGGACACCAGAGACAGCTCTAAAAAGCTTTCACTGGTTTAATCTGGGACCATTTGAATATCAAAAAGAATAATTACTATAATTTATTGGCATACACTGAACATATAAAAATCCATGCTGCTATGGTAATACTCAAAAAAGAACAATCATAAAAATGTTTTTAATGTATTTGTCATTGTTAGAGGCTACTATTACACTATATCAACTCATTACTGTGCAAATGGGTAAAGAGAAAAAACTAAGAATGTATGCTACCTTTCCAGTTGGAGTTGTATTTCAGGGTAACTCAGCCCAGTTGATGAGAGAAAATCCTTTTCTATGAAATAAAATCATTGAATAAATGTAAAAGGAATGACAGAATAGAAAAATCACAGTTTTAAAACCTCTAATGAAAAAATTTAGTCAAGGATCATCAATGAACAGTAAAACCATTTGGTGAAAAATTGATGGGGAACTAGATATTCTCCTGGTGCCAAAATATCATCCCATGGATAACATGCTGGTCACATTAGGAAAGCATAATTTTACATACAAAGACCTGGCTCAAACCAGTTGTCAATTTTGGCATCACTAATAGTGGAAAAGCCAGACATCATGCATTTTCTGAAGTAATGTAATCAGAGGCATTTTGCTTTTAAAATTCTTTAATGTAATCCAATCACTACTTCATATACAACTTCTAGTTTATAGGAAATACAAAAGATAAACAGGTTATACACTGGAGAAATGTCTGGAAATATACCACAAAGAAACGACCAGACAAATCTAGAAGGTGTGGAGTTCTAAAGAAAAATCGATCTGGTCTCTCAAAAAGACAATCTCAAAAATGGGGGGGCAAGAGATAATGTCCATGCTAATTTAAAGAGAATTAAGAAACATAACTAAATGCAATGGTGGTCTCTGACACCTATTTTGAACAAAACAGCTGGAAAAGGGCATTTTTGGAAACAATTTGAAAAATTCGAATATGAACTGAGCATTAAATGACACTAGGGAATTGTTGAAAATTTTGTAGGCGTCATATGGCATTTTGGTTATGTGGGGAAATGTCCTTGTTTCTTGGAGATGCATATTGAAATGTTTCTAAGGAAAATATGATGTCTATCATTTATGTTTGAATACTAAAAAGAAGCAAATATGGTTAAATATCAACTGTTAAATCTAGATGATGAGTATATGAGTATTCACTGTGCGCTCCATACCTTTTTTTTTTTTTTTTGTATTTTACAGTAAAGCAAGAGAGTAACGTGATCAAATTTAAACTTTAGAAGCCTCACTCCCCGCTTATTGGGTGACAAGAGTGGAAGCAAAAGACCAGTTAAGTAATTACTGCAATAGCTAGTGATGCAAGAGCACAGTAGTTTAGATGAGGTAGGGAGGATGGAGAGAAGTTGACTGATGTGAGATATATTTTGCAGGCAGAAACCATTAGATCGTTGATAGGCTCGTGGTGGGAGAGGGCGAGAGAAAGGAGAGTCAAAGCTCATGTGTACTGAGTGTTTAGTGTGTGCCAGTACTTCCTTTGTTCTGAGCGATCCACGTGAGTTTAACTCACCTAATCCTCACAACCACTTTGTGAGGTAGGTACCATTAGCACCTCCACTTTACAGATCAGGAAGCAGGTACAGACAGGTTAAGCAACTTGCCCAAGGTCATACCCTTAGTAGGTGGCACTGTTAGAACTGGAATTCAGACACACACGTCTAACCATTCCTGCTCTGAAGGAAGACACCAGGACCATTAATAAAGATGCCAATTCACTTTTACGCTCCACTTCTTAGGGTTTATACTCCCTGACCCACCCATCTTTCCTGGACCCCACCCGACTGTAACCCTTTTCTTCGCCAACCCTGGGACTGGGAGATAAAAGTGACGGTCCTTGAAGAAGAGTATAGGTCAAAAAGGGGTGGGGCCAAGTGGAAGTTCCAGTGAAGCACTCACTATTTGGTGGAGGAGGGATGGATTGGGTAGGTCCCCCGCTAAGACGAGGCTTTTACGCCACGCGTGACGCCAATAAGCGTAAGGGCCGGGGGTGGAGAAGTCGTCACCACCCGCCCGCGGTTTGCCGAGTTGCCGCGAGAGGGGCATGTAGACCCCGCCTCGTAGGTGGGTGGGGAGTGGCAGGCCCCGCCTTGGCCCCTCTGCCAGGCGCCCGCCAGCGTCGCTGCGGCTCTGGCGGGGAGCGAGCGCGCAGAGCCGGGAAGGATGCGGCACCCGCGGCGGCCCGGGGCTCTCGGGGCATCCGGAGGTCTCCGGCTGCTCCTCTGCCTCCTGCTGCTCAGCAGCCGCCCGGGGGGCTGCAGCGCCATTAGCGCCCACGGTCAGGAGGAAACTTGGGCGGGGGACAGTATGGGGCCGGGAGCAAAACTCGGTGGGTCTTAGGGTGAAGTGTGAAGGTAGGAAGCTCAGGCAGAAAATGTCGGGCGGGGGGAGAAGGCACTGTGACAGGAGGAAGGTGAGAGGGAGTCTGGGAGGAAAGGGGCGTAGGCCTGGAGGTGGGGCTGGGAATACGGGGCGGGACCTAAGAGAATTGGGCTGGGGGAAGACTGTGGGTTCAGGAGCAAGGTTGAGGTGCATGTGGGCAGAGGGACTTAGAAACCAGCTGCAAGACCATAGGAGAAGCAAGTCGCGCTGAGGCGCCAGGGAGGTGGCGATCAGTGCTGAGAAATGGGAGGGCGAAGGGGGCAGGGAAGTAGCGGGAGGGAGAAGGAACGACCTCAGGGCAGGAAGAGTCGGGACCGCCGCAAGGGGTCCCAGCTCCACGTAGAGAGGGGCTAGGGTTTCTCTTTAAGCCTAGAGAGACGGATCTCTGCGATCTGATCTCCTATAAGAGGGAGAAAACTGGGGGAGGGGGCAGAAGAGGATGTAAAGGGGAGGGTCCTCTCCTGTCCCCCTCCCCACCAGGCCTGGTGCTGACTCACATCTGTGAGGACAGAGACAGTCAGCGCTGACTCACGGGCCGGGGGGGTGGGGGTGGGAGGGTGGCGCGTGGGGGAAAGGGCCCAGCCTCGCCACCTGGTGCCCTGTTTCCCCACCCGGGCTTGGAGGCCACTGCAGGGTACTTCCTGTGACGTTATGGGTTGACAGGATAGAACAGGGAGGGGTCAAGTCTTGTGGCGACTCCTCGCCCTGTCACCCCTTCCTCTGGTAATTGCCTTCAGGCGAGCCCTTGGCCGCGCCAGACTCAAAGCTTCAGCACCGGGGACAGCGCCAGCGTCTCGGGCCTGGGACAGAGTGGGAAGCGCTGCCTTAGACACAACTCACCCTTACTCCTTCACCCCACTGGGGGGAGGTGTACTAGGGTTTCCACCTCTTCTGGGTTCCAGGCCATCATAGTTAGAACGGTTTTGGAGATTTGGGGAGGAAAGTCCCCTTTTCTCCAGAATTTGGCCCAAACCTCCTGCATAGTAGTTCTGTAAGAACCTCCACCATCACTACTCCCCACACACACCTGGAAGGTTTCTTCTCATCATTCAGTTAAGCAAACTGAGGCTTTTAAGGATCCAGACTCGCAGATCCTTAGTATCCAAAGCCAGATCCCATGCATCCTTCTTTTAAGAATTCTGGGCCTCTTCCCTACTCTACTCCCAGCTTAAAGCCTTCTTTAGAATGAAGGCAGGGACAGCGTCTGCTTCCCCCTTTCCCAGCCTGTCCGTCCTCTAACCATACTATGATTGTGGGTGTCTGAGCCTCTGCTCACCTGTCTCTCTACAGGCTGTCTGTTTGATCGCAGACTCTGCTCTCACCTCGAAGTCTGTATTCAGGGTGAGTGAGGCTCAGGCATAGAACTCACGGTGTGGGATGATACAATAAGAAATGGCTGGGGGGGGCTGAAAAGGAGGAGGGCTACTGGGCTTGGGGAGAAGGGGGATTGGCCTGGAGGAGCAGAGCTCTGAGGCCAGGAGAGAAGGTGGAAGAGTGCTATCCATTCACAACTTGAACTTTGGAAAGCCTCTTGTTCAAGCCACCTGCTGACATCATTTTTGTGCTCTTAGATGGCTTGTTTGGACAGTGCCAGGTGGGCGTGGGGCAGGCCCGGCCCATTTTGCAAGTCACCTCCCCAGTTCTCCAGCGCTTACAAGGTGTGCTCCGACAACTCATGTCCCAAGGTAAGGTGAAAGTGCACTGGAGGGAAGATTGGAAGTTGGTTATCTGAGTGGGGAGGTGAGGGGCCACCTGACCTGAAGAATTCTCTTCATGGAACATTCCTATCATACCCACTTCCAGAGCATCATTTTCCCAGATCTTTCTAGAAAAGAAGGCAAGATAGGAGTGGGAGGTAGAACCCTAGAGATGAGCTGTTCACATTTGGACTCTCTGGAGGAACCTAGAGCAGGCTTCTAGAAGAAGTCACTGGAAGAGGCCAGCATCCATCTTTTTAGGACCAGCCCATAGTATAGTTTGAGTGCTCCAGATCCATGAATCTTGGGGTTCTCAGTGAGAATAACACCCCACTCATTTCATTCACTCATTCAACAAGTATTTATGGAATACTTACTCTGTGGCAGGCATAGCTTTAGGTGTTTGGTATGAATCAGGGAGTAAAACAAAGATCTCTGCATATTAGGGTTTATGTTTAGGGAATAAGTGGAGGGAACACACTATATAAGTTAAAAAATATATAGTATGTTAGAAGATGATAAATCATGGAATATTACAGCAGGATAAAGGAATTAGAAATGGTGAGTTAGGAAGCTGCAGTATTAAATTGGGTGATCAAAATAGACTTTATTGAAACTATGAAATCTGAAGAGATTCGAAAGAGATGAGGGAGTTTGCCAGGAGATTATGGGGAGGAGAGTGTTTCAGGAAGACCAAAGAGCTATAAGGCAAGAGCACAAGTTAGAGGAACACCATGGCGGCCAGGGGACTACAGTGGAGTGATGGAGAGGAAGAGTAGAAGGTGTAGTCAGGTAGGTGATGAGGGAAGGGATGCAGAGCATTGTGGGACCTCATAGGAAAACATGTGGACATTGGCTTTTAAGTAAAAGAAGAAATCATTATAAGGTACTGAGCATAGGGGTGCATGATCTAATTTATAGATCATCACTCTTGCTGCTGTATTGAAAATAAAATGTATGGAGTCAAAAGTTGATGCAGGGAGACCATTAGAAGCTACCATAATAACTCAGATAAGAGGTGTGGATTGGACCAGAATGGTTGCAGGGAAGTAGTGAAGAATGACAGAATTCTGCATATATTTTTAGGGTAGTCAGTGTGATTTCATGAAATATTGGATATGGCTATAAAGAGAGGAGTCAATTATTTTTCTGCCTTAACAACTGGATCAGTAGAAATGTCATTAATTATGATGGGGAAAATTGCAGAAGGATCAACTTGGGGTTGTTCTGTTTTAAATATATTGACTTTAAGACGTCGATTCAAGTAGAGTGGGGAGTTGAGTATATGAGATTGAATTTTGAAAGAGGTCCAAAGAGGAGATAAAAATTTGGAATTCTTTGACGTATAGAGGGTAACCAAACCAATGAGGTGGATGAGGTAACCAAAGGATTGGGTGTACATGAAGAAGAGGACCAAGGACCAAGCCCTAGAGAACTCTAATATTAAGAGGACCAGGAAAAGGAGAACCATCAAAGGAGACTGAGAAGCAGAAGCCAGTGAAGTAGGAGGAAAAACAAGAGTGTTCCATGTCCTGGAAGCCAAGTGAAAGGATATCAAGGAGATGGGAGTGGTCAACAGTGCCAAATGATGATGATGGGTTAAGTAAAATGATATATGAGAATTGACCACCAGGTTTAGACATGCAGAAGTCACTGATGGTGTGAGTGAGAGCAGCTTTGGTACAATAGTTGGGAATAGAGTGGATTAAGAGGGAATGGAAAGAATATAATTGGATACAGCCAATATAGATAACTCTTACAAGGAGTCTTGCTGCAAAGAAAAAGCAAAGAAATGGTATGATAGCTGGAGGGGAATGTGGGATCAAGCAGTATTTTTTCAAGGTTCAAGAAATTGCTTCACGTTTATATGCTAATGAGAATAATTCATAGAGAACAAAGAAAATGATAATGTAGAAAAGAGCAGAGAATGCAGGGAGGATGTTCTTGAGTAGGTGACAAGGGATGAAATCTAGTGTGCAACTGGAGGAATTGGTTTTAAATAGGAACACTGAGAGTTCGCCTAATGTTAATAGGCAAGAAGGCGGGTATGGGTGTTGACAGACCACAGAATGAGTGAAGAGCAGCACAGAGAAGAAAAACTGAGGGCGAAGAGTGAGAGAATATTCCTTTAGAATAGGTGACTGACTTTTCCTGAGAGCAGAGTTTGGGGGAAATGGTCAAATAGGAGATATGTCTCACATAAGACGATGGGGATGACAACGATGATGATGACAACAATGACAATGATATGAGGGTTTAAAACGTGTTTAGTGCTTTAGAGTTTTCTAAGTGCTTTAAGTTCCCTGATCACACTTGATCTTCATAACAGCTCCCTGAAATATGTATTATATCCACTTTATGAATAAAGAAAAGTGAGGTTCAGGATCGACAAAGAAAACAATAATAATGGTAATAATAATGATGATAATAGCATTTGTTGAAAGTTCACTCTGACAGGCACTATTCTAACTATTTGGTGTGTACATGTGTTATTTTAATTGTCATAACAATCTTAGGAGGTATAAATCCCCATTTTACAAATGAGGGAGTTGAGGCTTGAAGAGGTTCAGCACCTTGCCCAAGGTCACACAATTCATCAGTGGCAGAGGCAGGATTCAAACCCGGGCAGTCTGACTCTAATAGCTGTGCCCAAGGGTGGGACGAGGACAGCTCAGATCACCCGCTGGGTCTCTAGACCCCCTGCACTGCCCCTCTGCCCTGACAAACCCAATGCACTGCAGGGTAGGGAGTGCAGTTCTGATCCCAGTGGCCCCTCAGACTCCCAGGCCACCCCACCCTGTCCTTTTCCCTGACAGGATTGTCCTGGCATGATGACCTCACCCAGTATGTGATCTCCCAGGAGATGGAGCGCATCCCCAGGCTCCGCCCCCCGGAGCCCCAACCAAGGGACAGGTAGGCAGCGTTCTTGACAGTGCTAGCTCTTGACAGCGCTAGCATGGTGAGGTTGGTGGGTCTGTGGTCTTGGAAGGAAGGGAGAAGGAAGTGGAGCCAAGGCCAGTATGCTGGGACACACGTAGAAGAGGTTCAGGGATGACCACTCTCTGATATGCTCACATACCCAACAGGGGCTGAGCTCATCCCTGGGGATCCAGAAAAACAGGAGCATTTTAAAAAATGTTTATTAAAACCTTGACATCAAAAGAAATATCAAAGTAGTCATCAGAGACAAATTAGAAGTTTGTTGGCATAAATTGTTTTAATGTTCAGTTTCATTACTATGTGGACTTCTATAAGGCAGAAGGTACCATCATCTTTTTGTGGTCGGGGCCTCTAAATTAAAGAAAGGCGAAGCAGAAGGAAATAAATGAGGTCCATGGAGCCCAGATGATGATGTCAGGATGAAATAGGCATAGTGGCAAGGGGTGGAGGAGCAGTCCTGAATGTTTGAGCATACACTTGGAGAGGCAGGTGTAGGGACATGGCACATGGGGCAGCAGGGCCAGCTGCAGCCACAATCCATCCAGAGAAGTCTCAGCTGTCTTCCTGCTCCTGTTCTCCCCTCCTCCAGCCCCAGCCTCTGAAGCTGTGTTTCAGTGACCCAGGTGTGCTTACCAGGGAGGCAGAGACCACTGGCCCTCCTTATGCCCATGTGGCCCACTTCTCCCCTGAGGCCACCTCATTTTTTAAGATGCCAGATCTACTCTAAACTGCTGAGCCTGTGTGGCTGCCACCATCTCTGCCTTGTAGGCTCTCTACACCCTTGCTCCACACAATAAACACACACAGGCACACAGACACACAGACACACATTTTGCTTTCCTCCCCAGATCTGGCTTGGTACCCAAGAGACCTGGTGCCACTGGGCAGCTGCTTTTCCAAGGCATCCCAACTGGCTCTGCCCCTGCTGCCCAGCACCGGCTTCCACGACCACCAGTGGGTGGGGACGGAGCTGGGGCGGGCTCCCCCCTGTCCCCTCTGCAGGCTGAGCTGCTGCCCCCTCTCTTGGAGCATCTGCTGCTGCCCCCGCCACCTCCCCACCCTGCCCTGAGTTATGAACCTGCCTTGCTGCAGCCCTACCTGTTCCACCAGGTGAGCCCTCCACTCTGACCTCACCCCTGTCCCCCAGTCCGCCAGCTCTGACTTCTGCTCTTACCCAGGTCTCTGGTTTCCCACAGTTTGGCTCCCGTGACGGCTCCCGGGGCTCAGAGAGCTCCCCAGGGATGGTCAGTGTCGACCCCCTGCCCAAGGCTGAAGCCCCTGCCCTCTTCAGCAGAACTGCCTCCAAGGGCATGTTTGGGGACCACCCTGACCACTCCTATAGGGACCTTCCAGGGCCCTCACCTGCTCAGCTTTTCCAGGACTCGGGGCTGCTCTACCTGGCCCAGGAGGTGCCAGTGCCGAGCAGGGCCAGGGTGCCAAGGCTGCCAGAGCAAGGGGGCAGTAGCCGGGCAGAGGACCCCTCAGAGGGCTATGAGGAGGAACGACCAGGGGGTCGCAGGGAGAAACCGGCTTCCCCAGCAGTGCAGCCAGGTAACAGTGTGGGGACTGCTTTTGGGGAACCATGGGGGCTCCTTCCTACCTATCCATACGTTTGTTAACTTGTCATTAGAGGCATTCATACATTTAACTAACGTCTACGGAAAAGCTGATCCATGCCAGGCACTAGGGAGGCCATGGGCGTACAGTGGGGAGTGGAGATGACATGGCTCTTCTCCACATGGAGCGTTGAGAGTCCATGGCAGGGCTGAAGTTTGGTCTTCGCCCCAAGACAACCTTTCCCCAAAAGTGTGGACAGGGGCTGGGAAGAGGAGGGCATCGGTGTCCTGATGTTTGAGCAGAATCTCTTAAATGTGCTAGTCCCTCCCTCCCTCCCTGACTGCATCGCACAAGTTCACCGCGCCCTCAGCTCTGAGCTCTGCGTCTGGCTCTTGGCAGACACGACTCTGCAGAGACTGGCGGCTGTGCTGGCAGGCTACGGAGTGGAGCTGCGCCAGCTGACCCCCGAGCAGCTCTCCACCCTCCTGACCCTGCTGCAGCTGCTGCCCAAGGGCACAGGAAGAAATCTGGGTGAGTGTCTGGGCAGAGAGCCCAGCATCTCCCAATTCCACGGAGGCCTCTTTCCCCACCTCTCAAGACCACGTGGAGCAGCCTGGAGGGGAAGAGTCAGGCTCACAGGAAGAGTTCTTCTGAGACACAGGGTCATTGCCAGCACAGGGCAGGGAGCAGGCAGGTAGGGTGGTGAGCTGAGGAGTTAGGCCAGGAAAGACTGGAGGGTGGAAGTAGTGGAAACAGAAGCCAACAGAAGGTATGAGCAGGGATAAGGAAGCATCAGGAGGGGTGGGTTGGTGACAATAATGTTCTAAGGAGGAACATGGCCAGTGCTAAGGAGAAGCCAATAATTGATAGGTAGAGGAAGGACTGAACAAAGAACACCATTGAGGGGTGCAGCAAGTGACAGAGGGAGGAGCTAATACAACAATGAATTATAAGGAGGAAGCAAAGAGGAATGAGGCCGTGCTTAGGATAAGCTCAAGAACAGTCTCTCTGACTGAGAGGAAAGAGACCACAGCAGATGTAACTGGCTCAGGGTTTCTGACCCTTTCTCCCATCTGTGCTTTGTGGTCCTTGGCCTTGGCCATTTTCCCAGACTCTTATTTTTCCTGTCTCTGCAGGAGGGGCTGTAAATGTTGGAGCTGATATCAAGAAAGTGAGTTCCCAGCAACTCCTTGACACATAAATGCCCCATGGCAGCACACCCCCTTGCCAAAACCTAAGTCTCAGGATCAAGACCCAGAATCTGTATCCTACAGCCCCTGAGTTTGGGGAAACTAAGGCCCAGAGACTGCAAGTCATTGCCTACGGTCTCACATCAATTTGATGACAGGGCTGGGACTAACAGCCAGAATTCTTGATTCACTGCTCTTTTCACTACGGTGCTCTGAGAATCCCCAGGGGAAGGGGGAAGTTGCTAGCAGGCAGGCTCCTGACCCCCTATAGTTGGAGGAGCTCTGCTTCTGTTTATTTCGTGTGTTGGTCTTTTAAGATTTTGTAGCTAAACAAAAGTTTAAATGCCGTTGCTTCCCTGATCATCTTCTACCCTGACCCCAGCTTCTCTCACTCTGAATGTCATTCCCACTCCAGCCCCAGCCTGTGGATCATTAATGACCATTCTCCACTTGTTCAACCCTTTCTTCATTCATTAGTCCACTTGGCTCACATGTTCTGGGTGCCCTCTCTGTACCCAGCACTGCCCTGGGCCCTGGGGTAGAAAACTGAGCAAGTCCCAAGCTCTACTGTGGAGAGCACAGAGTCCAAGGTATAGACCCCTTTCCCCCAGGCTCCCCACTATCCAGAGGCCACATCTCCATTCTGTCTTCTAAACAGGCAGTGGAGGGACAAGCGCAGGGCAGAGACACAGCGGAGCCTCCACCCCCCACGCCCTCCTTGCCTGGACACCCCACTGCCGGCCCCACCTCCAGTGAAGTCCAGCAGGTGCTGGGCCCTGGCTCTTCTGAGCCTCCCAAAGCTGCCACCCCCCCTGCCACACCTGTCCTGCTGGAGAAGAAGAGTCCACTGGGCCAGAGCCAGCCCACGGCAGCAGGACAGCCTTCAGCTCGGCCATCTGCAGAGGAGTATGGCTACATCGTCACTGACCAGAAGTAAGAGCTTCAGCCTGGGGAAGACTTCCAATCCGCTGGGGGTGGGGCTGGCCTGCCTGGCAGGAAGCAGAGAGCAGAAATCCATATGCAAAGAAGATGCAGGCTGCTCTGCACCCCTGGAGGTGACCTATATTAAGAAAGTGACAGAGGATTCCTCACTTTCCCTCCTCTGCCTGCGTCCCATCTCCAGGCCCCTCAGCCTGGCTGCAGGAGTGAAGTTGCTGGAGATCCTGGCTGAGCATGTGCACATGTCCTCGGGCAGCTTTATCAACATCAGGTAGACTGGTGTCATGCTGGGGTGGTGGCAGACATCTGGAAGGCAGCTTCAGCAAGGAGGTTGCTGGAGGGACTCAGGGGAGAAAGGATAGACAAGCTCTGGGGTCGGAGATATTCCCGGCTATACTGAAGGTACAGCCACACCTGGCCCCGCTGCTGGCACCATCTAGAATCTCCCTGACCTCAAGTGCCCCTGTAGGGCATCCCTGAACTGCTCCAGCCCCATCCTCTAGTGCAGCAGTCTCCAATCTTTCTGGCACCAGGGACCAGTTTCATGGAAGACCATTTTTCCACGGATGTGGGGAGGGGAGTGAGGTGGAACCCTGCAGCTGAGTCCCTAACAGGCCATGGACTACTACCAGTTTGCCGACCAGAGGTTGGGGACCACAGCTGTAATGGGGAGAGGGCCCAAGCTAGCCATTTTTTTGGAGTCTAGGGTCTAGCGTGGGTAAGGTAGTAACATAGCTCCTATTTGGCAGTGTGGTAGGACCAGCTCTTACCTTCCGCATCCGGCACAATGAGCAGAACCTGTCTTTGGCTGATGTGACCCAGCAAGCAGGTAAATACCTTCCCAACCTCAATCCCAAGCTTGTCCCCAGCCTCAGCCCCCTCCCTACTAGAGTATATCCAGCCTTGTGGCCGATGCTCCCTTGAAATGTTCCCAGCCAACATGGGCCCTGCCTGCCACCTGGCATAGTACGACCTGGGGTAGAGACCACATGAGGCTGGAGGGAGCCTGACCTGCATCTTCCCCGCAGGGCTCGTGAAGTCTGAACTGGAAGCACAGACAGGGCTCCAGATCTTGCAGACAGGAGTGGGACAGGTATGTGCTAACTGGAGAATCAATCAAAGCCCCACCCGATGTTGCCCACAAGACGTGGAGGCAAAGCTGATGGGAGAACTGAAGCCGAAACCTCTTGTACTTGATGGGAGGTGCCTTTGCCCAAGCATCCCCACCCCCTGCAGTTCTCCTTCTGACCAGCAGATGGCCCAGGTGGCTCCTCCCTCAGGACCAAGCCCTCCTGTGGTTGACAAGAACCAGCTGAGCCTTCTAGAGCAACTGTTCTTTTTCTTTTCTTTTCTATTTTTTATTCTCCCTGTGCAAGGAGTGAAGTTTCCAAATTCCAAGGGAAATCCTTTCACAGAAAGGACATTATACTCAAAATAATGTTTCTATTCTGCATTCAACACTGATGCCTCACATTCTACTATTCAATTTCTTGGGTTCCCTCTCCTCTTCTCTATGTCCACATTTAAATGCACATACTCCTGGTGGGTGTCATCCGCTGAGTCTCTGGCACTGTAGTGTGATTGAGTTGGCCCGATGAGGGTTGAGAAGGAGGATCTGAGCCCTTCTGCCTGCACCTTCATACTCCTACCCTCCTAGCTTTGCCCCAGATATCCTAGCAGGGAGTGTGGCATGAGACAGGAGTGAGGAGCAGCTCCTAAATCCCCCTGCCACTGCCCCCCTTCATTCTAGTCTTGTCCCCACAGAGAGAGGAGGCAGCTGCGGTTCTTCCCCGAACGGCACACAGCACCTCTCCCATGCGCTCGGTGCTGCTCACTCTGGTGGCGCTGGCAGGCGTGGCTGGGCTACTGGTGGCTCTGGCCGTGGCTCTGTGTGTGCGGCAGCATGCGCGGCAGCGGGACAAGGAGCGCCTGGCAGCCCTGGGGCCTGAGGGGGCCCATGGTGACACTACCTTTGAGTACCAGGTGTGCATCCCCAGAAGCTTGTTGGGAGGAAACGCAGGGGGCCTGGGAGTCTGGGTCTTGTGTGGAGCGAGGGTGGGAGCTGAACGGGAGTGAGCCCCCATCCCTGGGAATGTCCAGGCGGAGGCCACAGAGCCCCAGTGTGGGGACAGTGGAGGCCTTTCCTAATGGATGAGAATTGGGAGCAGATGGTTCTTAAGCTTCTTCCCAGTGCTGTGATTCTGGGGTTCTGGGATTCCACTCTGTCATACCTGAGGTTGTCATAAGCATCACCCAAGCAGAACTACCCTGAAAAGATGAGGCCAGGGCAGAATATCGTACCCCAGAGAGGTTGGATTTCATGGAAAAGCAATCAGGGATGAGCCCAGGGCTCATACTTGAACCCAGGGCCCTGTTGAAAGGCTTCAGGGAACTCTTGGACCTCACTTGATCCTTCCTCTGCAGGACCTGTGCCGCCAGCACATGGCCACAAAGTCCCTGTTCAACCGGGCGGAGGGTCCGCCGGAGCCTTCCCGGGTGAGCAGTGTGTCCTCGCAGTTCAGCGACGCGGCCCAGGCCAGCCCCAGCTCCCACAGCAGCACGCCCTCCTGGTGCGAGGAGCCTGCCCAGGCCAACATGGACATCTCCACGGGACACATGATTCTGGTCAGGACAGGGCCTGGGCCTGGAGGGGTGAGGGGACAGCATGGCAGGAGAGGCAGGACTGGCAGCGTGGGCCACAGCCAGGCTGTACTGCCCCTGCAGGCGTACATGGAGGACCACCTGCGGAACCGGGACCGCCTGGCCAAGGAGTGGCAGGCCCTGTGTGCCTACCAAGCAGAGCCAAACACCTGTGCCACTGCGCAGGGGGAAGGCAACGTCAAAAAGAACCGCCATCCCGACTTCCTGCCCTGTGAGTGAGCCCTGCCGGCTGACCTGGCCCAGCTCTGCCTCTGCTGGGAGCTCTGGAGGGCTTGGGGGAGAGGGTGGGCGCCTGGTTCAGGCTGAGTGGCAGAGGTGCCAGGACTCCAGTGACCGGAGGGCCATCTGGGGTGGGGTGCGGGTCTGTGCAGATGACCATGCCCGCATCAAATTGAAAGTGGAAAGCAGCCCTTCTCGGAGCGATTACATCAACGCCAGCCCCATCGTGAGTGTCCCTGACTCCGGCCCCCACTCCTGCCCTGTCTTTATCCTGCCCCTATACATTCCATTCCCCCGTGGTCACTGCAGTTGAGGGGCCTGATATCCTAGCGTGGAAATGGGGATTGTCAGCCTTCCCAGACCCTAGCCTCCTCCCTTTGACCAAGCCTCTCCCTAGTAGCATTTCCTATTCTGGCTCACGATGTATCTTCCCTGCCCCCAGATTGAGCACGACCCTCGGATGCCAGCCTACATAGCCACTCAGGGCCCACTGTCCCATACCATCGCAGACTTCTGGCAGGTGGGTTCTTGGAGAGAGGACTTCTCTAGGGCACTGATGGCTAGCCAGGGCCAGCCAGATCCCAGGAAGGTTAGAGTGGAGCTCACCTGGGTCTCTGTCCCCAGATGGTGTGGGAGAGTGGCTGCACTGTCATTGTCATGCTGACCCCGCTGGTGGAGGATGGCGTCAAGCAGTGTGACCGCTACTGGCCAGATGAGGGCTCCTCCCTCTACCACGTATATGAGGTCAGCAGGACCCCACAGCAAGGGGACAATGGGCAAGGGGAAAGGGGATGATGGCCTATTAATACATACATGAACATATATGTATATAAATGTATATATGCATTCCATATATATTCACATGCATATACATATATGTGTGTCCTGTCCAGGGTCAAAAAGCATTTGTAGGAACTTATAAAGGTACAGAAATAAAACTATGAAATCACCAAAACTGAGGTAAGAAGCTAAGAGCAAAGTGTATATGAGACAAGGAAAATAAGTAAACTTAAAGACCAAAATTTAGGACTTATTTTAATTGAGCCTAACTTAGCTGTGATTTTTTTTTTTTTTTTTTGAGACAGAGTCTCGCTTTGTTGTCCAGGCTAGAGTGAGTGCCATGGCGTCAGCCTAGCTCACAGCAACTCAAACCTGGGCTCGAGCGATCCTTCTGCCTCAGCCTCCCGAAGTAGCTGGGAACTACAGGCACGCCACCATGCCCGGCTAATTTTTTATATATATATCAGTTGGCCAATTAATTTCTTTCTATTTATAGTAGAGACGGGGTCTTGCTCTTGCTCAGGCTGTTTTTGAACTCCTGACCTTGAGCAATCCACTCACCTCGGCCTCCCAAGAGCTAGGATTACAGGCGTGAGCCACTGCGCCCGGCCCTTAGCTGTGATTTGCCTGGTGACTAAACCAAAGAAAGAAATACCACCAGTCACATATGTTGCTTATATAAAATAGAAACGGTCCTGGTATGGTGGCTCACACCTGTAATCCCAGCACTTTGGGAGGCCAAAGCATAAGGATTGCTTGAGCCCAGGAGTTTGAGACCAGCCTGGGCAACATAGTGAGACCCCATCTCTATAAATAGTAATAATGATAATAATAAATTAACCATGTGTGGTGGTGCACACCTGCAGTCCTAGCTGCTCGGGAAGCTGAGGCTGGAGGATCATCAGGGGTCAGGAGTCCCAGGCTGCAGAGAGATATGATTGGGCCACTGCACTCCGGCCTGGGTGACAGAGTGAGACCCCATTGCAAATGTATAAATAAATAAATAATAAATAAATAAATAAAAGAAAACAGAAACAAACTTTTTCATTTGGAGAGAAGGTAAGTAGGGAGGAACTGGGCAGAAGCAAAGTGTGGGAAGGAGGAAGAGCTTCTAGACACATGCGGGCAGGTGACTCCCCTGTGAGATAACAACTTAAGAACACAGCTGAAGCTTCCTATTACCAGATGAGCCTGGATAATAGTTTTTCATCACCGAGTGAGCACTCAACAATCTTTCTAAAAAGCCTTTTATTGGTCCTGCTCGTGGTTAACCGCTTCGGTCCGGCGCTCACCGGCTGCGAAACCTTGCCCACAGCGGGCTCTCATAGTCCGCAGGATGGTGTGTGCTGGGCATCGACGACCAATCCGTTTTGCTCTTGTGTGACGAGGACAGCTTTAAAGCACTGAAAGCTTGTTTTACTTTACAGGCAGCTTTACTTGTAATGTGAATCAGAATAGGTAACATATACATGTATGTTTTATTACCTTATTTTTAAATGTCCACAATTTTATTTTGATAAATGAAAAATTAGAAAAGTCAAGTTTTGTTATTAACACTAACGTCGACGCTGGGCTGTGCGCGTTCATCTGTGCTGTCGACTACAGTCGACGCTCGTGCCGAAGTGGTTTTAATGAAAGAAATCAAATAAAAATATTATAGAATTTCATCAACATTTCAGGTATGCTAAGCACGACACTTTGGTAGACCGTGCGAGGAAGAGGAAAGAGAAACTCGGACCTCAAGCAGCTCCCAGCAGTAGTTGTGTCTAGGTGGGAAGGCTACCAGCAGTCCTGAGCAATAGATAGGTGACAGCCAGCCAAGGTTTTTTCCTGGGGACAGCTGGGACGGTTGGGGCGGTGGGTGGGTACGCTTCCTGGGGACTTGGAATTTGATCCCGCCAGAGAAGGTCGCGAGGAGCGTGCACGCAGACGTGGAGCTGGGGGCGCCCCTCCGTGCTCAGGCCTGGGCCCCCCTCTGCAGGTGAACCTGGTGTCGGAGCACATCTGGTGCGAGGACTTCCTGGTGCGCAGCTTCTACCTGAAGAACGTGCAAACCCAGGAGACGCGCACGCTCACGCAGTTCCACTTCCTCAGCTGGCCGGCAGAGGGCACCCCGGCCTCCACCCGGCCCCTGCTGGACTTCCGCAGGTGAGCGCGGGCGCGCAGCCGGGCTGGGGGGCGCCGGCGTGGGACCGCCCGGGACAGGCGCCCAGGAGCCTGGGCGGAGAGCGGCACCCGAGCCGGGGACCGGGACCCGGGCTGCCCCACGATCCCCCAGCCCACTGGCTCCTCCTGGGCCCCCAGGTGTGAGCCCTCGAGACCCCACCCTCCCGCCCCCACAACCAGGAAGGGTGGTCCGTCTGGCCCATGCCACACGCCTCCCCACCCGCGTGGGCCAGCTGCGTGTCTGGTCTCACTTTGCTGCTCTGCTCGCTCCCGCTCACGCCTTCTCCTCCTCCCTGCCTCTCTGTGCCTGGCCCCTTCCCCACCTGCTTCCCTCGAGAAGAGCCTGCCTTATTTCCAGCCCCCCTCCCTCCCTTGTTGGCTCCCTCTCCTTGGCCTCTGCTTCCTGTCTCTTTCTGTTTCCACCTGTCTGGCTCTCCCCAGGCCCCAGCACTATGCTCAGTCCCTGCTACTCCCTCCATCTCCCCCTTCTACCATCTCCTCTTCTTTATCCCTCTCCCTGTCTTTTTACCTCTATTCGTATTTCCCTATGTGTCTTTCATTCTTCCCCGTTTCCTCTTTCTTCCTTTTCCTCTTCTCTCTCCCCCATCTCTCTTTCTCTCTCTGTTGCTATCCCTGTCTCACTCTTTTCCCTCTGTCTCTATTCCTCCCTCTTGGCACCTCAACTTTGTTCTGTCTCTTCTTCTCTCTCTCCCCCCTCCTCTGTTTTTCTCCACCTCTCTCCCCTATCCTTATTTATCTCTGCCTCTGTTTGTCCCTGTCTCTCCCTGTCCCTTCCCTTCCCTCTCCCTTCTTCCCTCTTTCTCTCTCTCTCCCTCACGGCTGCCAGTGTCATTTTTGTGATCTGCAGCTAGTATTCTCACTCCAGTTGCATAGTCACAAAAGTGATCATTGGCAGGTGTGGCTGCTGCATGGACAGACAGGACAATGGGGCTGGGGACCACCCCAAGCTGGGGGCTGGGGACACAGGGAAGAGGCAAAGACTGTCAAAGGGAGTGCAGAGGATCTCCAGAAGTCTTGAGGACTCAGTGGAGCAGGTGGGGGCTGGGACAGGAAGCCTACCCTGTTCTGACACTGATTCCCACACCAGGCCAGGCCTCCAGCATCTCCCGCCTTTCCCTGCCCCAGGCAGGTGGCTGGGAAGCCTGCCACCACAGGGAGGGGCCCCGCCCACACTGCACCCTCCTGCTTCTCTGTCCCTTGCCAAGCTGGCCTGAGGTCTGTAGGTGCTGGGCAGAGGAGCAGAGCTGGGGGTGGGGATCTGGGTATAGTTTTGGAACCTCAAGACAGTGCTTTCTAACTGGGTCCTTGGGCCTGCGGCAGACGCATCTTGAAAGCAATGCCAGGGTAGCGGAGCTATCTCCTTTTTTCTATTTAAAAAATCTTGATAGAACTAGTACATGAGTCTGTTTTAAGGCTGAACAGGTAAGCTAAAAGGTTTCTTTGCTTTAGGCCTGAATAATGTAAACTTGGTTGGCATTAGACATACAGAACAAATTAATTATTGCTTAATAAATGCAGTTTGGTGACGGTCCACCAGAGGGAAGGCAAATTAACAAAAGAAGTCCTAGAAAGTCACCCTGAGAAGGTTCTTTGACCTCCTGCTGTTCCCTTACCTGTGAGAAGAGGATGATGACACATACTTTAGAGGGTTGTTATGAGCTTTAACAGACTGCAGTACGTGAAATCTAGTTAGGTGCCTGGCCCCATAAGGGCTCTAGAATAGACTTAACTATTCTAGAGACTACCTATTATCATTATTATTAAATGCATGGAAACCACTGTTGTGACTACTGTTCAACCCCAGCCCTCTGACATACCAGACAATGTGCTAGAAAAACCATGTGATCGCCTGTAAAACTGTTCTAAGTCACCTGGCCCCTTAGCTGGAGGACCCCTAAGTTCCAAGCTTCCCCTGGAACAATCTTATAACCCCTAAGAAGGTCTTCCCTAGTCCTGGCCCAGAGGGGATAGCAGGGATTTACAGGTGATTCTCAAAACAGAGGGTCATAAGAAAAAGGGCAGGTTAGACAGGGCCACTGAGAAAGGGCAGAAGCCCTCTGCTCCTTGCTGAGCTGTGCTCAGGGGGGCAGCAGACAAGAGTCTGAGGTCCAAGTGGACCCCAAGTCGGAATATAACCCAGCCACAGAATGCTCATCCTGAGGTGAAGCTGCTCCACGGGCAGCAGCACAATATTCTGAGTTGAGGGGTTGTCCTCCCCTGGCCAGAGGAACTCTGTCCCCAGGGTGAACATACATCACAGCTGGTGAGGGCCACTAGGAGCCTGAGAAGAGAATAGCCTGGGTGGTTGTAGGGGATGGCAGAGGGGCCGAGTAGGGATGTGGCAAGACTGACACCCTAAAAGTCACCAGAAAGCCTACCCCCTTGGACTTCTGGTAGAGGCAGCTGTTAACATTCTTACATGTTGTCATTCATAGTGGCTTTTTATTGCACACCTACTTTGTGCCAGACCTTTCACTTAGCTCTTTACACAGATTATTTCATGTAACTGTTGTAAGGAACCCTAAGGAGAAAGTCACCATTATTATTACGTCCCTTTTACAGGTAAGAAAACTGAGACTCAAAGAGTTTAAATCAGTTGTTCCAGGTGCATAGCTTGGGCACATAGCTTTTAAGTGACAAGGCAAGCCCAGTGCCACCCACACCAGCTCTGATTCTTTGCCTGCAGCTCTGACTCCTTCCTCCGGCCCTCTTCCCCCTCCGCCCTGGACAGCTGGGGAGAAAAGAAGAAAGAGAGGCCCATGATGTGTGTTTCAGCTCCCCTTTCCCCGCCCGCTGGTGCCCGCCGGCACTCACACCCATTTCTTGTTGCAGGAAGGTGAACAAGTGCTACCGGGGCCGCTCCTGCCCCATCATCGTGCACTGCAGGTGGGTAGGGACAGAAAGGGACAATGTGACTCAGGCCAGAGGGCCCTGGGGTGGGGCCTCCTGGTTCCTTCCCCTCTCTCTGGTCCCCATGTTCATCTGCCATGCACATTGCCTGCCTGTCCCCTTGATGCCAGCAAACTACAGCCCATGGGCCAAATCTGGCACACTGCCTGTTTTACTAATGGCCCCGGAGCTAAGAATGGTGTTCACATTTTTAAATGGTTGAAGAAGAAAGAAGAACATGTGACAAACCATATGTAGCCCACAGCGTCGACACTATTTACTCTCTGGCCCTTTATACAAAAGCTTGTCTGAACAATAGCCCAGTCACCAGCTGGCAAGACACGTTCCCACTCCCTCCTGCTGCCTCCACCTCAGGGCTGAGCTACGCTCTCTTTCTTGCTTGTCCCATTGCTAAGTGACACCCCACAGGTCACAGGCTTCCTACTCAAGGCCCAAGTCCTGGGGCCCAGGTGGAATGAGCTTTCCCTGATCCTCAGCCCACTCGACCGTCCCCAAGCCAACCCTAGTGGATCAACCAGTGTCCTCCCCACCCAAGCCTCCATGTCTCTCCTCTCTCCCTCCCGCTTCCTGTTGGGTCTTGAGCTGAACCTGTCACCAACTATTATTTCAGTGATGGTGCAGGGAGAACTGGCACCTATATCCTAATCGACATGGTACTCAACCGCATGGCAAAAGGTAAGGAGTGTGCCCACGGTGCCTGCACCCTTCAGGCTGTTTTTAGAGTCTCCCCAGCACTCAGGGTCCCAGGAGCTCACAGAAGAGCAGAGTGTCACACCTTCAGGCTTTGGCCAATCCTCCAAGTCTCCCACCCCAGGGTGCCCCAGGCTTCTTGGGTCCTATCCTCTTCTGGCCACCCTCTGAGCAACCCTCCTGTGCCCCACCCCTATCTCCAGGAGTGAAGGAGATCGACATTGCTGCCACCCTGGAGCATGTCCGTGACCAGCGGCCTGGCCTTGTCCGCTCTAAGGTGACCATGCCTCCCTGCCCTGACCCTGGCTGCCACCCTCCCCTAGCACCCATTTCTTGACCACCCGGGGGAAACCAGCAGCAGCCTGCCTCTCCCGCCTGCCTGCCCCCCTCCTCCCAAGGGACCTGTTCAGCGCCCCCAAGGTCCCCTTAGGGCAGGAGCAGAGGCCACACCTCTCCATGACCCTCCTGCCACTGTCCTTCCCTAGGACCAGTTTGAATTTGCCCTGACGGCTGTGGCGGAGGAGGTGAATGCCATCCTCAAGGCCCTGCCCCAGTGAGAGCCTCAGCGCCCCTTGGTGGGCAGCCCAGCCTCCGGTCCCGCTTTGCCTGTATGAGCATCTATCTGTGTGCCCACTCCTCCTCCCCCGCTGCGACCCTGGCTCTCCTGGGCGGGCCCAGCCCTTCCAAGAGGAGTGTAGAGGAATCGGAAGTGGGAAGAGGCAGGGCCCACAGCCTCTCGCATGCACAGTCTGGGCATCCCACGGGGCAGCGGGCAGCCAGCGGGAGAGGAGAGGATGGGGGCAGCAGAGCAGCAGTTCCACCCAGGGCCTCCTCCTGCCTAAATTCCCTGGCCCTGCTCCCGTGGTTCGGGATGCCCCAACATGTCTGTGTGGACTCCCCCACGCTCCAGTGTGGACGGACCAGGGTGGAGGGTCGCCAGCCCCAGCTCCTCCTGCCTTCCCGCCCCAGCCTGCCTCCTTGACCCGGGCACGCTGTCCTCCCTGCCCCCACGCCACGCTCAACCTCGCTCCCTCTGGCACTAGAGACCATTTCTAGAAAAATCTACTTTTGTATCAATGTGAATAAAGTTAGTGTGTTGTCTGTGCAGCTGCAACCCGGACTCCCACACAGTTCTGTCTGCTCCGCTTCCAGACTCCCGCCCCAGCCTCAGTCCTGGCCCTGCTGCCTCTCTCAGGAGGTGCAGAGTGGGACGGGAAAGCACCAGCCGCAAGTCGGGCTCTCCCTGGTCTGAAAAGGAGCTCACAGCAGTGAGAGGGCTGTTCCTTTACTCTGTGTCTCCCGTGTGGCTGGCAGTCTCCAAGACGCTTTACGTACATTAGCTTTTCTAATCTCTATGACACTAACAATGATTAGCCCCATTTCACAGATGAAGAGACTGAGGCTCAGAACTTGCCCAAGGTAACACGACCTGTAAGTGGTGGAGTTAGAATTAGAACGCAGGCAGCTTAACCTCTCTGCAGCCTCTCCTCTCAGTCCTTGGGCAGCTGCTTCGTGTGCTTCAGCCTCAGGAGTAACGGACCTCGTGCAGGACTGCAGTTAGGGCTGGGCGGGGAGATACTGGCAAAGTGCCTGCCACACCTTAGGCAAAAACGGCAGCAAAACTCTGATAGTGACTCTAAGCCAGGGCTGTACGAAGCCAGACAGGCGTTCACCGGGGGCGAAGGGCATTTTCTCCCTTTCTGTCATGCCGCAGCTCCCAGAACCCTCCACCCTGTGCGGTCCTGAAGGTGCTTTTACCTGCCTGTCAGGAGGTGACCTTGGACAAAGGTGGACATAGAAACAAGGTGAAAAGTGCCTTGGGCCTGGAGCTATTTGGGAGTTAGGGCCACTCAGCTGTGCTGAGGCACAGTCCTCTCAAACAAGAAATAGGGCCGAAGCCATCTGCCCTGCGCAGGGAGCAGACCGCAGGTCGTCCGCCGGTCTGGCCACGCTGCAAGCTTCCACAGGCGCCCTCTCAGGATGGAGCCTGGAAATTCCTCTTTCAGGGCAGGCTGCCTCATGGCTTTGAGGAAAACACATGGGCCCTTCGGCTATTGAGGGAGAAGCCAGAGCGCCCACCTCGAGTGGAAGAGAGGCCGTGGGGAGCCCTGCGGCCCTGCCTGACAACAGAAGAGGCATGTCCCGTGGCTGGAGACAGCAGGGGACGGGTACCTGGCTGTTTCCTCCCTGGCCCCTGATGAATCTGGGGCCTGACCCTGGGGGTCAGACCTGCACCATTCCATGCGCCCCCTGGCCCACGGCTCTGGGTGTGAACTAAGGAAACCTGCTGAGGGGCTCAGTCTATGGGTTTGGGGGTATATAGAGTTTAAAGGTTTTGCCATGTGATATCAGCTTCCTGTGGTCCCAGTACCCACTTCCCACTTCCATCAAGTGTTAACTTAGTCTGATCCTAGCTATGCTGTGGAGTACTAGGTGGTGGGTGCCAGGGAGATCTGGTGTGGGCCCCCAAGTGATGAGGACAAAGAATATAAGCAGTTCTTGGGGTTCCATAACATACTTGGGGACAGTGACCTGGTCAAAGAGAACTCCTTCTATCAACTGGCAAGGCCTGCACCTCCCTTGGGGCATAAAGGGAGGTGTGAGGCCTGAAGTGTCACCCACTGGTCCCATAGGGCCCCCCTCCTGTGCCCCCCCTGGAAAGTAGGAGCACAAGAATACAGCACACCAGTGAGCTCTCAAAACTCGGCTTTATTGACTTCCAGTGTTTCCCTTGGTCTAAGCTCAGCCCTGCTGGCTTTGATAGGTCTCTGAGGCTCAATGTTACAGGGCTGACTCCACCACTCCCCTCCCTGGCCACTGGGCTCCCCAGGCAGGGAGGAGGAGAGGCGGCTCGTCTGTGATGGTGGAGAGAAAGAATGGGCAGCAGGGTCAGAGGCCAAAGAAAGCCATACAAGCAGCGGCATGCCCGCAGCTCCCATCACATGCCAATCCCAGCCACACACACACACCCCCGACGAGGCGGCCTTCCCTTCCAGGCTCTCTGCCTGCCCACGCCATTTCAGCCTTCTGGGGCCCCACCCTGCTTAGTCAGACATGCTACTGCTCTGGCTTGTTCCTTGGACCCCAGGCTGCCCACAGGAAAAGAACCCCACCCAGATGCTGCAGGGCTTTGATTTGTCCACTCTAACCTTGAGGCTAGCAAGACGTGTCAGGGGAACCGAGGCTCTTTGCTCATTCCCCCGTCATCCACATTCTTACCACCCTTCCAGGGACAAATCAAAAGACACAATCTCCCTGCCTGGCAGCAAGTGACAGGCCGACCTGGGCTGGAACATGTCCCAAGATGCACAGCTCCGGAAACCCACACCACTTCCCCCCAAGCGTGACCTATCAGAAATGAGGCCGGGTGCATTGCATTCTGGGATTTGTAGTCCCCAAGAGACAGCACCAAACACTCAGGGAAGAGCGTGCACAGGCTACAACTATGACGCCTCCCACCGGGCCCCCACCCACCACCCAGGCCCCAGTTCTACACTCAGTATGGGTGAGGGAGAGGAATGGAGAGGCCCCTCCCAGCACATAGGGGAGGGCGCTGTCCTGTTGTAACTGTGCTGCAACTCTGGATCCTGGACATCCAGCTCAGAACACATCTGGGAAGAGAGCGGGGGCGGGGTGACAGGAGAGAGGGTCAGCAGCAAGCCTTGGAGGATGGAGCCGAGCATGCAGACCTGGGCTAGCCATGTGGCCTCTCCCTGAGCCCTGATGCATGGTGGCGAAGTAACACAGGGTACAGTCCCCTCCTAGGCCTCCCTCCTGGGTCACCCTGGCCCTATCCCACCTCTCCAGGGTTAGCCAGCCTCACCTCTGCCTAGTCCCAAGGCTGGGGGCAGGCTGAGGCAGCAAGAGGAAGGGAGGAGGAGTGGACTCCGGCTCTGAATCTGGACAGCTGAGAGGCTCCCGCCCCACCCAGCTAGCCTCCCCAGAAGACCTCATGGCCCTACGGGCCCCAGCATCTTCCTCGCCACATTGAGGCCTTCTCGGGGAAGGAAGGAGAAGGGAGTCCTAGCCAGATGAGCGGCCGTGAAAGCAAGCGATGCGGCCGGCAGGGAGTTGCAGAGAGAAGAGTGGGAGGAAAAGCAGCACCAGAAGGGAAGCAACAGAGATGGTCAGAGCTCAACACTGCACAGAAACCAGGATGGGGGTGTCTGCAGCTGGACAAGGAGAGCCCACACTGCTCCCCAGTGGAGCTGCCAACTCGGGCTCAGAGAACCCAGGCCAAGTCCTCCTTCCTTGACACCATCAGCAACACGGGTGGCAGAGGACCTGGGCACAAAAGGCCCAGCCCAAACCACTGATTACCCCTCAGGAATTCCCCTTCCAATAGGTGCATCCTGGCTCCTCAGGCCCTTCCACTGCCCTGACACCCCCCCCCCAGGCTTCACCCAGGGACCTATCAGGCCTGGGCTGAGCACAGAAAATCTCAAGTCCACACCGGAGTACAGGTGGGCCTGGGAGGGAAACTTGCAGAGGGAGCACGGAGTTGGAGACGGGCTCCTGCAACTCAGCCATGCTCCTGTCCACTCTCCCAGCAGTGAGCCAGACCCCGTCATGACCCGAATCAGGCTGGGCTGGGCCTGGTGTTCAGAGGATGAGGCAGCGGGAGGCCTTCTCCTCTGGGGATGGGCTGGGTTTGGCCACCCCACCCCTTACACCTTCATGGGTCCCCCCCACTCCCGGATCTTGGTGCTGGGCCTTGGGCCGCCCCTGCTGTCGTTGCTGTGCCTCCCGCCCACCTGCCGGTTTCTTCCCAGCTGCCTCCATCTCTGACAGGCTGTAGGCCATGGCAAGCTGCAGGTCCTCATCCTCAGAGAGGTCACTGTCAGAGGGGCGTGTAACAGCTGTCTGCCGGACCTGAGCGCTCCCAGACCTGGAGGTGACTGACTGCTGCTGCTCACGACGGCTCAGCTCCAAGCCCAGTGCCAAGTCATCTGGGACACCTGCAAGAGTCACAGCTACCATGAAGCCCCAACCTGTGTCAGGGTTTGACCCCTTACAGCCGACCCTTTAGAATTGGTGTATGTGCACCTGAGGTGGTGACTATGAGCACGGGGAGGTGCTCAGCTGCACCATGTAGGAGCTCGTCTCCTTGGACAAGTTACTCAACCTCCCTGCACCTCTCTTTCCTCATTTATACAGTGGGATGAGGAAAGTGCCCACCTACTGAAATTGGTCCAATGATTAAATAAGACAACCCATGTGAAGTGCTTGGTTGGCAGAAAGTTTAGCTGTGAAACTTTAAACATGAAAGTTTAGCCACGGTGACAACCCTACACAGCATGGTGTTGTGCAAAGAGTTCCACTCCAAGAATCATGCATCCTGAGTTTGACTCCTGGCTTATCCCTTGTTTGGTAGGAAAGAGTGTTGGGCCTGGGCTATTTGGAAGTTAGGGTCATTTAAGCATGCTGCAGTGTAGACTCCTCCAATAAAAACTGGGGGGACGCCATCTGCCCTGCTTGTTTCCCTGGCTGCTTTAGGAATACAGGGGATGGCGTATGTGTGCAAGTGCTTTGCAAATGTAAGGTACCTCCCTCATGGTCATGGTGATTAGCCAGCCCTCTCAGACTCCCCTAGGATCGGCATCTCCAACCTTGCCAGTCTGGCTGGTGGCTGCCTCTCCCTCCCAGCCCCAAGGGAGTTCAGAGAGCAGCAGTTTGGGGAAGAGGCTTTAGGGATGGGGGGGGGCCTAGGGCTTCCCACCAGGGCCTGGGTGGCAGAGCCACTCCTCACCATTGATTGTGATTGACTTCAGCTGCCCATCCTCCTCCACTTCCACCCGCTCCTGCCCGTTCTCCATGATTCTGTAGGAGACAGCACAGTTCAGACAACAAGCAAAGGCTGAATCCTGCAGGTACTGGTCCCATTCTGGCCACCACATTGGACAGTGCAGACTGGGCCCTGCCCTCAAAGAGCTGACCTACTGTGCACAGCTCACGGCTCCACCCCAGACCGTGCCCCACTGTATGGCCCCAGAAGGAACTCTCACCTGCGTGTTGTGATGCGACGTCCTTGGACAAAGGTGGTAGATGTAGAAACAGAGCGAAAAGCACCAGCACCAGGACTGAAGGAGAAAGATGAGGAGGAGAAATCTGGCA